TTTGTTAAAAATTTAAACATGTTTATTTCCGTCAATTTTCAAAAAAAATGAAATAAAACTCGGTCAGACAATAGAGAGTAGGGGGTTTCCCTAACGACGGACGGCACCTAATACCGGACATTAACTATATCTGTACGCGTAAACCGTAGAAAGGATTCCCCTCTATGGTTTACGCGGAAAAATGGTAGCGATTCAACTATATTACAAATACAGCTAATGTCCGGTGTTAGGTGCCGTCCGTCATTAAGGAAACTCCTCCTACATTTTAATTTATGAAATTCGATTTTTTGTTTCAGAATAACTAAAATAGTGGAATCATGTACACCGTTTACCAATACGGAAAGAACGATTTTGTTGAAAGGTCTAAAAGTTTTGCTAAATACAGATCTGAAAATAATTTTTTATTGAATCATCAAAATAATTTGTTGGAATATTAAAACTGATAAGCATTGCTGTTTTGATATTCCAGCAATCATTTTGACTTTCGCACAAAATTATTTTGATTATTGAACAAAAATTATTTTCAGATCTGGATTTAGCAAAATTGTTCTTTCCGTGAGTGTACGTTTTACGCGAATTGCTGTATTTCCTTGAGAGATTAATATTTTTCGATAAAATTTGAAACATAACAAGTTTAATATCTATATGTATTAATAATAAAGTGCCAAGTTACGTACGGGGATCGTATTTATACTTTTCCTGCAATCCAAGCTCAAAAAATCTTTATTTCAAAATGTACTATCCCCTTAATTTAAGCTACATCTGTTACATTATTTTTAGAAATATGTATCCAGAATATGACAACGCAAATCCACCTATCTAGTTATTTATATTAATTCTCTCTCTCTCTCTTTCTCTCGACTTTTTATTATTCAATTATTTCACCTAATTACTCGCGTATGATTTTTCAAATCCATCGACGCTCGTCAACGTTCGAAAGCAACGTGTGGCCGAGGGTGAAATCTCTCGATTTATCGGCGCACTCATCCCCGAGTTGCATCGACAATCTCGACTGATTCGAAAGTCTGCGGCGCGCGAAGGAACAAGTAGAAAAGGACGACGGCGATCGCGACCTGGAGCGGCGCGACGAGGCGAAAGAAGCCTTGATATATCCGCCAAACACAAGGGCGCCGAACACCTCGGCAGGATTTATCGGGGCTGCAGATAATGGATGGCTTCGCGCAGCCACCGAGGACCGGCCGCTTTTTTAAATAATACAACGCAAAACGCTTGAAAAATTCCTGGCTCTCGCGATAATCGTCTGGCTATTCCGAACGAACGGCGGACGAATATAAAGGAAATTATTTAATAGAAATGATGAGTTTCGTTTGTTAAGCGAAGCCGTGTAAACGTTGCAATCTCGATACACTTGTCGCATTATTCATTGCTTTCGCGATAAAAAAAAAGAGTTATCGTTGTCGAACAAATTTTTAAAAACCCATTCAAAGCTATACATGGAAAGAACGATTTTGTTGGAAGGTCTATAAAAATTTTGCTGAACACAGATCTGAAAATAATTCTTGTTGGACCATTAAAATAATTTCATTGAAAAGTTAAAAATGATAAGCATATTGCTATAAAACGTTTTGATATTCTAGCAATCAGTTTGACTTTCCAACAAAATTATTTTGATCGTTCAAGAAAAATTATTTTCAGATCTGTATCCAGCAAAATCTTTCCGAGTTCATAAAAAGCTCGAGATGATACGCTAAGCGACTAGCAATAAGAAAATTTGCGAACCTTTTGCAATCTTTGTATAATAGGTATATTATAATCAACAATAAATACACGATGCGCGAAAATGCGCTTTAATTATCAAGATGAAAAATTCTGACGGTATATAGGACATTTCGCGTAACGAATGTGCATGAAATGTCAAAAGAGAACACGACTATTTCAACGTAAAGATATCAAAGAGCGTAGTTATATACGGCAGTAGCGACGAAACTCAAAGGATTTCGGCGACTTGGGCTTCAGGTGTAGCACAGTGACGACAGCTTAACAGCCTTAACCGGCTTTCCAGAGTAAATTTACCTCTGGAAAGTAGATTTACACTAAGATTTAAGGGGAAGCAAGGAACGGCCGGCGCGGCGCGTCGAGGCGGACGAGCACCGCGAGACAAAAACCGCGGAGGCACCGTCGTCGGATTGGATCCACTGCGGGAATGTATTTAATTCGATTGGCCTTTGCCGCCTCCGTCGCCGTCGCTGCCGCCGTTGGACCTTCAAGCGAGGAGGGCGAGAAGAGCGGAGTGGCTTTTATGGGGGAGGGGGAAGGGGAGGGAACCTCTGTTTCCGCCGGAAATGAGGCCCTTGCTGCCGTGCCGCATCGCCCCGCGTCAGCGACCTACTCTCCCTATCAGCCTCTTCTCCTCTCCTCCCCTCCTCGTCGCCCTTCCTCGCTGTCGTCGTCGAGGATGAAAATCGTATTTATATCCCATCTCTCGCGTGCCCAGGTAAATATTACGAGCGAGAGTGTACGTACACCTGTCGCTACGAGCTATGACAAGCGAGATCCACGACGCCGAAAAATCGACGCTCTCATCGCGACGCTATACTCTCGACATGCCGACCTGGCCGCGCGCTTAGACATATATATTTTTGCACTCGCAAATTTCGAACATAGCAACGAGAAATTGAATCAACAAGACCAGAAATTATTCCGATTTGCTTGTAAGAGAGGTGTGTTAGTAGTTTGCATTTGGGATTAAAAATTACTAATGAGTTTAAAATTAAAAAGTAATAATTAAATATCCTGAACAAAAAAGTTAAATTTTAATGCCGCCGTAAAAATGACTTTTATATATGAATTGAGAAAAATTAATTTATACACGGAAAGAACGATTTTGCTGGATACAAATCTGAAAATAATTTTTGTCAAACCAGAATAATTTTGTTGGAAAGTCAGAAATTATAAGCGAAACTATAAAACGTTTTGATATTCTAATCAGTTTGATTCTTCCCAACAAAATTATTTTGACGATCCAACAAGAATTATTTTCAGATCTGTATCCAGCAAAATCGTTCTTTCCATGTATAACTGCGATTATTTAGATACTCAGAATTTGATCAAATGCTATTTCTTCACGGAAAAATTTTGCTGGAAGGTCTAAAAATTTTGCTGGATACAGATCTGAAAATAATTCTTGTTGAATCATCAAAATAACTTTTATGGAAAGTCCAACCGGTTGCTAGAATATCAAAATGTTATACAGCAATGCATATATCATTTTTGAGTCTCCAACAAAATTATTTCGATGATCCAATCAATTTATTTTTAGATCGAAATTTTTGGACCTTTCAGCAAAATCGTTCTCATATCGCATATAACTATAATAAAAATGTATAAGGTTGATAGTTATTTTACTTATAATGTAGTATATTAGTGATACACATATCTTAGAAAAAGCAACGACAAGAATATTTATGAATTAGAAACTTCTGTCTTGTCAAAATTAAATATCTTGACGATATTGCACACTTTGCATGTATATACATGACTACTTAATTTTCCTTCCTATCATTCTATTTAATTTTCCTTCTATTGTATCTTTCTAACATTCAAAAAATTCGAGAGGTTAGATTAATTCCAACGGGTAATTTCGCGACGCAGTGCAATATTGCCGTATCTCTCTCTGTCTCGAAACGTCCGCGTTCGCAGACCGGGCGTATTTTATTTCTCATTACGAACGTAAATTAATTCGAACTCTGACATAAAGTAATATAAAATCCGTCCAATGATCCGATCAACCGATCGACCGGACCACCAACGGGCGCTTGCCATTAGATGCGCGCCTTCTTCGAGGGGGAGTTCGGACTGAGGGTGATCTCGCTCTCCCCTCCCGCTCCTCCGGTTACCTTCCCTTGCCTGACTATTCATAAGCTCTCTTAGAGCAGGTGCGGACTGCGCTCCTTTTCTCCCTCCACGTTTTACTTTTTTTTTTGTTTCTATCCCGCGCACGAATCCTCGAATAAGGCGACGGGATCTCTAGAGCCAGACGGCAGAGAATCGAGGTGGAAGAAGCTTACCATTGCTCTCTCTATAGGCGGATGTCGACTCTGGCTCTCCCCCTCTCTCTCTCTCTCTTTCTCCCTCCTGCCCGGCTGGCTCCTGCGAGATGTAATTTTCGCTGTATGCCGAGATTAGAAGCCGGCTCGTCGGGGCCTACACCCCCCTTCACCGCCCGCCTGATAAGTATTGCCTGCCCTGCGCCAGTCTCCTGCTGAATGCCCTAGAACTGGAAAAGGGATTCGAGAGATGATCTCGGTACGATCGATCGGCCTTACGTACGTGACGTCACGAGCAACGAGTGCCCGTTATATCTCGTTAAGGAGCTACGTATCCGCATATAGGCGCGGATTTAGCGGAATCGCCTTGAGCGTAATGAAGATCTGCTACACCGAGCTATGTTAAATAAATGTCATTGCTATTAATACATCTTGAGGCGTGTGCCGCATTATAAGAGCCGTATGATTTATCTTGTTTAAATAAAGTCGTGAAAAATTGAGGGCAATAAAGATTTATACGTGTAAAATATTCTTTGATTCGCGTAAAAGATCGACGAAAGTTCTCTGCCGGGCGATTCGCATTAGAATTAAAATCATTGGATGAAGAGGAGTGTGCGGTGTAAGAGTGGGACGCGATTCAAAGGTAAAAAGAGTTCGTCGCTTTTACTCCCCCCCCCCTCATTCTCCCTTCATATTCACGTCGAGTCGTTCTTGCGGGACGAAACTTTTGCCAGATAAAATCTCTAAAAGAGATCGGATAATCAGATTAATCAAAGTTACGGTTAAAAGAATTCTTATCATAAAAAAGAACGCGAATAATTAATACAATGCCAAGACGCGATAGAGTGCTTGATAAACTATATCTTTCATAAAAAATATTTAAAAAAATATTAAAATTAAAACATTCGCGTCGAGAGATAATTTATTGTTTCGCAGTACTCCAGTTTCAACGAAATGATCATTTAAATAACAGTCACAAATGATGCGAATAAATTAGAAATGCGCTATCATTTTCATTTTATTACATGAGACTTATGACCTATAAAATACATACTTCGTAATTTCACGAAACTTGCGAAATGAATTAACTGTACATCTATTACTAATTGAGATTTTGTCTGTTGATAATATAAAAAAAAAAGAACTAAAAAAAATGTACATTTGACTATTATTTGGTATTTTTTTTACCACTTTCTTTTTTGCTTATATACTTATCGCTATTCCACATGAAAAAATAATATCCCATTTATATTTTCATAAACAGCTGAATAAAGAGAAACTGAAGTTGAATATATCCAATTAATGACCATATCTGTGAACAGAAATGACAAAATTGTTATACATAATGCATAACTATCTAATTATCTTAAAAACAATTAACAAATCAGATACAAACTTTATTAAAAATATATATTTACATATTCTTTTAAATTTAATATCTTAATATTCTTAATTTTACATTTAAAGAAAGTAGTAAATAGGAAAATAAGGAAATAATATATATATAATGTTATGTATATATATATATATATATATATATATATATATATACATATCTAAAGAAAATAAATACGATAAAAACATAACATTATATATATTATTTACTTAGTGTCCTATTTACTTTCTGTAAATGTAAAATTAAGAATATTAAGATATTATTATACTATTTGGATATGCTTATTTTCCTATATATATATGACGAAACTCTTATCAAAATTTTGCAAGCGAAGCTCTACTTACTTTTGAAACTCCCATTCACGATTATCAAGTGGACAGACCTGTCGCGTTTTCAGCCAACGGGAAATACAGTGAAAGTGAAAGGCGTGCTAAAAGCATAAGATACAATTGGTAAGATCCAAATGAAGATTTAACGATACGAATATCATGATACCGCAATGTCGAACATACATTGCATACACCCCAGGCTACCGTGCACTCCTCACTGGTGGCAGACGCCTGGTTCGCTTGGCATTCGATACACAAGTCCATGATGTGATTACGGCAAATGGCGCAATTGTCCACAACGATATCTGAAAGATAACGAGGAGAAATGGATTAGAGAGAGAGCCTCTCGCTGTACTTATGTTATGCTTCGAGGGCACTTCGAACTGCTTCGCCACGTAGGAGCGATACTCGATCGTGATTCTTACCCCAGGCCCATAGTGCCACTGCGTTCCACTGAAACGGAGACAATCACATTTAAGTCGAGCGAGAAAAGGATAACAGATTATAACAGACACGCGGTGGAGCGAATGACAAAGCGCAAACGAGGTTAGGAATTGACATTCGCACGCCGCGCGGTGACCGCGAGCGCGATCGATCGCGCCGATCGCGCGTGACTCGCACACGCCTGTCCACGCTCACCTTCTTCACTTCGAAACGCTTCTTCTCGCCTTTCCCGCTGCTGGAGGTCGGCAGCTCGCACTCGTCATCGTCGATCTCCATAGTCGTCGCCATTTTTCAATTTTGAAGCGTCGCGTCGTTGGCCGCGTTGAAAAGGTCGGGCGTTGGGCATCGAACTTACATGCCGTACACGAGGTATTAACACACAGCCGACACGGGTATCAAACGTCGAGCGGATGGCGCTATTGGCGCTGCCGGACGCGCGGTTCTTATCGACAAGCCCGCGCTGGAAGGGCCACCGATAGCACCTTCCGAGGGTCAATTCGACCGAGGAGAGGATCGTGTCCGCGCGTCGGCGCGTCTCGACGGAATAATGTATATACTTGCCCGACGAGTAATTTGGAAGAAAAGAAAAATGGGACGCGACTACGCGTCGATATACTCGCAATCGCTTCAATAGTATAACTGCGTGAACATATATATCGATTGCGACACTTTTTTTAATAGCTGTTTCGAAACGCACTAATATTTTGTACTGTCTCTAAATTATTAAATACACCATCGTGGTTCGAATTTACAAAATATTAGCTATCTAAAGTTAGTTATACCTTGGCCTCATCCTGACTATTATATTATAGTTACCTATAAAATATATATCAAATATATTATAAAAACCTATGAAAAAAAGTGTCGCAACCGATACGTCCACGCAGTTTACACATCTAGCTTTGACAACGAATAATTAATTATATATATATGAAAGATTCCCTTTTTTTTCCACACTGCAGGAGCAAACAATCCTGTTCGTCATATGAGCCTGTATACTCAAAAACAATTCGCACGTAATCGAGACTGGAATTCAGACGTACAAATTTAGCACAGGAAATTAATATAATATATATTTTACACATATAAGTGCGCGCACACGCACACACACACGCTCCATGACCACGCCATAAATATATATATATGTTACGCAAATGTTTGATTTTTGGCAAATATACATATGTATATATGAGACAGACACGAGGAACAATATATATTCCTCGCCGTATTCAGATACTTAAAATATTCACTCGACAAAAATGTTAATTTGTGGCAATATAGAAAGATCCACTCACCACAACCGCGCGCGCTCGGAAAGTTCTTGGCGCCAAGTTCGCTGTCGATCTGCTCGGATCGCGAAAGTCTCCTCATGCTCGGAGACGCGAGAAGCGCGGACAATTACGCGACACGACGAGCGCTCCTGATATTCACTCGGTACTCCTGAACGCGAATCTACCCGCGGCGCTCGCTTCCGGCGAGAAAATCCTACCGAATCGTACGAAAAATCACGGAGCTACCACGCAATCGAACGCGAAGGTCGCGAGACAATATGGCGGCGCGTTTCGCGAATCCGCCAGCAGTGCTGGCGGCGCTGGCGGCGCTGGCGCGCAACGACGACGCGACGCTTGAGAAAATTCGGAATTCACTCACGTTTAATTTCCTCGTCCATTTCGACGTTGCATCGAACGGCACGCCGTGGGATATCTGTCGACGTACATCCCACGGCGATATATCGTCCTTCCTGTCCATAAAGAGCGAACTAGGAAACTGGAAAGATCGCCAGTATAAGAAAAGAAAATCGAACTCGCAACTCCGAAAATGAAAGCCCCATTTTACGAGTCGACGATAGCAATCCATAGACGCGCATAAATACTTACGACGTATTCGACGTGGGACGTTCGCTGCCGCGCAAATCGATATTTCGCGGCGGGCGACACTTTCCTCCGATTCTTTGGCTTCCGCGCTCCTTTCAAGATCCAGGACATCCACAGCCGCCGAAACTCCGGGCACTCCGGCCGCGAAATGTGCGGCGCAGGCGCACGCGTGCCTCTTCAGGGGAGTATCGCAATGACCGTGTCGCAGCGGGCGGTAGGCGGGAGAGGAGAGGCCAGCGTGAAGTTGGCAGCACTGGCCGGCTGGAAAATGGCGTCGCTGTCTCGCCATACCGACGGTATACGGGCGACGAGGAACGTGCTCTCGCGGCGTCACTGGCGCGTCGCGTCTAACATGTAAATAGCGCAACGACGGGTCGCGTACGGTCGTGATAAACGGATCGCCAGCCCGTCCTGCCATCGCCGTGACGTTCTGCCGTGCACCCCGATGAGATTCCGGTGATACGTTTCTAGCTGCGTGTCCGCAATGGCCGACGACTCCGCACCGCTGCCGAAGAGGCGCCAATTGGTAAACAAAGAGCGCGCGCGAATCCGGCGTCGTCCGTCGCCGTCGGCGACCGTCGGCGACGGGCGACGACGCCGATCGTCGGACAGTGGGCGTCGGGCGTTCCTCGCGCGACGCGGCACTCGACGCGGCCTCCCACCACGTGCTCGCCTCATCATCACGCGTTGTTGTTGTCCGTACTTGCAGCGCGAGCGAACCAGGAAGCTGTACACGGACGACTGGACCATAGGCGACGAGGAGATCGAGGGTCGCAGGACCTTTCAGCTGGACGAGAAGATCGAGGGCGAGAGGTACGACCTGAGCAACTTCAGCGGCCTCTTCCGCGAGATGACCGGGCCAGAGCTGAATTTGACGTTTCTGCAGAAGCACGGACTGCAGATACCGCTGCTGTTCAGGGAGAAGTCCGGGCTGGGTCTGCGAGTACCCAGCACCAACTTCTCCGTCAACGACGTCAGAACCTGCGTGGGTAAGTTCCTCAAGTACCTGCGAGAGCAAGAATGAACAGTCGCTTGACAGATATTAATGGGCGCTTTCCATTCAGTGACACACAAGTCGAGACACTAACGTCATTCTATCCTTCTTGGCATTTAGCGAGTGACACAAAGACAAAGTGATACTTGTGTCGGCTTGTGTCGCTAAATGGAAAGCATCCAATGTGTTGTATAACGCGTTGTTTGTTCGACAGGTTCTAAGAGAGTGCTGGACGTTATGGATGTTAATACTCAGAAGAACGAAGATATGACTATGAAGGAATGGCAAAAGTATTACGAGGATCCTAACAAAGAACGTTTGTTAAATGTGATCTCATTAGAATTTAGTCACACCAAGTTAGAGAATTACGTACAATCTCCTACGCTAGTGCGGCAAGTAGATTGGGTGGACGTGGTGTGGCCGAGGCATCTGAAGGAGTCTCAGGTGGAATCTACCAATCTTCTGGAAGACATGATGTATCCGAAGGTGCAGAAGTACTGCCTGATGTCGGTGAAGGGCTGCTATACCGACTTTCACGTCGACTTTGGCGGTACGAGCGTGTGGTATCACATTCTGCGCGGCGGCAAAATCTTTTGGCTGATCCCACCCACCGAGAAGAACTTGGCTCTCTATCAGGAGTGGGTGTTGAGCGGCAAACAGTCGGACGTGTTCTTCGGCGATATGGTAGACAGATGCGGCAGGATAAGCCTGACGGCCGGTATGACGCTGTTCATACCCACCGGCTGGATACACGCGGTTTACACGCCTCAGGACTCTCTGGTCTTCGGTGGAAATTTCCTTCACAGTTTCGGCATAGAGAAGCAATTGAAAGTGGCACAAGTGGAGGAGCATACAAAAGTACCACAGAAATTCCGATATCCATTCTTTACCGAAATGTTGTGGTAAGAGCAAAAGAAAAAATATATTTTATATTGAATACGATATAATATTATTAATTACATATAATACTTTTTGTATTATAAATGTATATTGCAAAAGTATCGTAATATTCGCAGGTACGTCCTCGAAAGATACGTGCACGTACTGTTGGGTAGAAGTCACTTGGATATAACTGAGACACAGCGACAGCACTTGGTCCCGCAGCATCACCAGCACGTACATATCACGGAGTACGAGTTACACGGCTTGAAAGCCATAGTGATGTATCTACACTCATTGCCGTCGACAAAGAAGAACGTTCCGGATCTGATACGCGATCCGGTCGCACTTATTCACGATGTTCGATGCTTGGTGGAGAAGCACAGGCACGACAATGCAGAAGCGGCTGTGACAGGCACTCCTGTGCTACCGCCGCCACCGCCACCCTTGAGCATCGTTGACAGGGTATCTATCATTCGCTACATCGAATTGAAACAAATTACGTTTGAATGTCTTATGTTAATTTTTTTTGTTCTGTTTTTCTTTTAGGAGCGCATCAGAGTAACGAGAAAAGGTTTTGTAAAATCGCAGAGACATCATTCAGACAAGTCCGAGAGAGCATTTCCGCGCAGGAGACGCACTAGATGCAAAAAGTGTGAGGCTTGCACCAGACAGGATTGTCGAGAATGCGTATTTTGCCAAGACATGGTTAAATTCGGTGGTAGCGGCCGCGCTAAACAAACATGCCTTATGCGCCAATGTCTTAGACCCATGCTTCCCGTCACATCATCTTGTAAGGTCTGTCAATTGGATGGCTGGAAGCAATCACCTGCACCATTGACGGGTATATATATAATTTTCAATCAATTAAACACAACTTCATTTCGTAAATTTTTTTTAACTGGACGTTTCTGAACGTATCTCGAGTTCTTTATTTACTACAAAAATTTGTTGTTTATCATTAAAATAATTATTAATTTCTGTACATTATAATGTTATATTTTCAAATTTGAGAATTTTATATTCTACGATCCATATTCATATCTTACTTTTACCGATAAATGTATTTTTAGATATGCATTTAACACATTGCATTTATAATTAACTATATAGAATCTTAGAAATAAATCAATTACATATGTAAGCAAGATGTGATTTATGGATCTAAGTCTTTGTATCAGGTTTAAAATTTAGCTTGCATGCTTGTATCTTTTCATCGTCACATTGAATGAGATGAATTTAAATAGTTCCATCCCTCCATTGTCTCGCTGAGCGAGACAGAGAAAACAAAAAGAATTTGCTAGAATTCTGCTCAGTGACTGATTGCTCTTGCATCTATTATTTTTTTGAATTATTTTTTTGCTATTTGAATTATACTATTTCTTTAAATTATTTTTTGTGTGTTTTCTCTCTGTTTTCGCTCAGCGAGACGATGGAGGGATGGAAATATTTAAATTCCCGAGCTAGGTGTTTGATAGGCCTATTTTATATTGATTTAAGTTATATGTATATGTAATTTAAATCCCTTTCTTGACATAAAAATGTTTGAATAATTGCAGGTAAATTTTTGCCCACAACACCATCTACTTTGATGGAATGTTCAATCTGCTTCGACATCGTACATCCAGAATGCATAGGTTTGAACTTCAAGGAAATCACCGTCAGTGATGATTTGCCAAACAGTTGGGAATGCCCACAGTGCTGTGAACGAGGCCGTAACGTGGAATGTCGGCCGCGTCATCCAAGAGGCCGCACGCGAAAGCTATCGGTGTCCAGCGCGGCCTCCTCAGCGCCGACCACGGATTCCGAGCGGGCTATGACACCGAGCAAACAGTCGAGGCTTGATCCTAATGACGTATGTAAAAATTCTCTCGCATAGAAATTATTTAAAAAAAATCGTACAAGCGGAATAATTTTTGCGTATTTTCGCGTGATTGTATCTTGTAGATAGCATAAGCCGCGTTGTATAGAGCGTTGCTGTATACATTTCGCGTGCTTTATTTTCCTCAGGCGTGGAATGATTCGCCCGGGGAGCCAGCCGAAGGTGAACAGAGAATGAGTCAACAGCGCACCCAGTTAGCTATGCAGCTGATCGCCTCGAGCAGTAGATCCTTGGCGAGACCGCACGTGGTGGTGAGGCCGGCACCGCCGCTGCCGCCGCCGCCTATCCAAGAAACGGACGGCGAGCCGAACGAATTGGTGTGCAACAAGACGGTGATGCTCGCGGTATTTCGATTCCTCAACGTGAAGGATCTGCTTAATTGTGCCTTGGTTTGCCGTGCCTGGGCAAGATACAGTATAGATCCGTGTCTGTGGAAGAAGCTCGACATGTCGCACTATAATCTTCGTTCCTTACACTTGACGGTTATCATCCGACGGCAGCCCGAGTGTCTTTCGCTGGACTGGACGAATATCAATAAGATACAATTGGCCTGGCTGCTGAATAGGTTGCCGCAATTACGGACATTGTCCCTTCAGGGCTGTACTTGGGCCGACGTTCGTGCTCTGAAGAGTTGCAGCTGTCCGCCTCTGGAAAAGCTGAATCTAAGTTACGTTACCTCATTGAACGACGCTGTTTTGCAAGAAATTCTGGACTCACCAACGGACTCGAGGCCCGGCCTTATTGACAAGACATCGCGATTGAAGCATCTCAAGCATCTGTCTTTAGCCGGATGCGATCTCACGGATCGAGGAGTGAGATGTATAGTTCAACATCTGGCGGATCTTGAAACCTTAGACCTCTCCTCGATCGGCAGGCTTACCGACTCCGGAGTGGCTCACCTGATGTCACTGTCAAGTCTGGCGTCGCTGAACCTAGCGAACTGCAAGTTGCTCACCGAAATGACTCTCGATCACCTGACGAGATGTAAGGCGCTGAAACGCCTGGATCTGCGACACACGACCCAAGTATCGACGCAAGCTGTCATTAAGTTCGCTGCCAAGAGCGAGCACAATTTGCATGTAACGGACGTCAAGCTGGTGGAGGAGAAGAAGAAGGTCAAAACCGAGATCAAAACCGAATTCATGGACACGTGAAAGAGCATGGCGTTCACATGCCAACTATTGTTCAGTGCAATCCGGTTATCGTTGCGTAAGAACACCGTTTACAGAGAAATTAGAACCATAATAGTACCACATGCTACGATCAGCGATTATTTATTTTGCATGAGAGAATCTATAGGCATCGTTACAGTGCATCCTTATGATGCAACAGAAAGGACCTGATTAGCATAGAATTTCTATTCGGATAACATTTACTTTTATCAATATAAGATCAAACGCAATTTTAACAAGAACGATTCCTTCGCAACTTGAATTTCTTATTATTCTTTTCATTTTTCTTATTACAGACACTTATCTATTCGATCGTGTGATTTGTAGTATATCATATTTACATGTTTTCCGAAATCATTGACTATAACTTTAGAAATAAATGCTTTGATTTATTTTAAAATGATTTTTTTTTTGCAACAATTGGAGGAGATATTATTTATTACAGTTTTGTAATTTTTTGTATATCTTTTGTATATCTAAATCTCAAATTCAAGTTTTATTAAACTCTATTAAATTAATTTAAAAAAATGTAATTTTGTTATTTATTTGGCATCTCTTTAATTTAATTTGGAAAATTAACTTCACGAATTTGTCATTTAAGAAACATTCATTTGGAATATATGCTTGTGCATATATACACATAAGACATATGTTGTAATAAATATGTAAATACACATATCTGCATTTATTTTATAAATTCAATTTGCTTAAATCTCGAAACTGCAAAGAAATAATGTACAATATTGATATAGAAATGACGTTTCTTCGATCATTATTCTCTCTCTTTCTCTCTCTCTCTCTCTCTCTCTCTCTCTCTCTCTCTTTCGCACTATAAATACTTCATAAAGATATTATTTTAGCTTTTCTTTTTCTTTACTGAACGTTATGTAGCAGGTTGCAAAGGTAGATCGTATAAAATTGGAAAAGTTTATGAAAATGGTATGTAGGAATTCTGTCGAGTCATTGTGCACAGAAGCAGTATTTTTTGCATAGGTTGTGAAGATAGAAAGTTCTCGAAAATAAGTATTTCTTTCGCACGAATGTCCGAATAAATTTCGATCGAAAATTTATTACAAAAACGATGTCTGTAATTACACACATACACACACATATATAAATATATACACACATACTTACCTGCAGACATGCATTAAAACATGTATTGAAATCGACTGTATCGTTTCATAACATTAGTCCGGTGATTTTACGTGATAATCGAAGATAGCGTGTACATGCTTTGAATTTTTATTCCCGAATTGATTTGCATCCCGTGATGTTCTGTGCAAGCCAATGTATATATACCTGCTTTTTATGTATATGCATGTTTTATTTGTACGTTTTCTTTCTACTTTCCGACCCCCTTCTTAAGTGTTCGACGATCGATTTCATGTAAAGACCGCAGGAATGATAAGTGAATTAGGTATTGACTCAAGTGCCATCGTGCATCTCGTGAAATTGTCCATTCTCTTCGTTATGTTCCAACACGTTAAATAACGAATTCGTTGCGATCACGCCTATCGTTTGTATCATAATATTTTGAAGAAGGTATTATAGTGGCAAGCACACACCGTTCTCACGGAGTTGTCGCTATTCTTGCGCTGAATACATTATCGCGAGCGAAAGTTCTCATTTCTTTATTTTTACATAATTAAAGTTTCTTTCAGCAATTTAAAATAAAAACGAAATCGCCACGATGTAATACATTGTATTATACATGTAATCCATGGAGAGCAATAGCGATCTCTAATTCCCAAATATAATTTTGATTTGTAAAAGGCAATTAATTTTTCCCCTCCCTCTATCGTAATTTTTCCCCAATTTAAGATAGAAATGATACATCAGCTTCTTGCTCGAAAAGTTCCAAAACAAATTTATTATCGAGAATAATGACTTTTCCAAACAAAGGTATAAAAATGTCTTACGTATATTGAAACTATTGCACGAATTTGGTGAGATATATTAGGTAAATTTTTATTTGAGAATTCGCGCGCAGATATTACGTGCAGCTTATTTGAAGTTATATCAATATTTGGTTTATATAAAGTCGATATATTTGTATATATCTCGTTTTGAATAACAACAAATAATAAAAGGTAGAAAGGAAGAGAGAAACAATGAAGGGAGAAAGAAACAAAATGTAACGCAAAAATTTCAAATTTAATCAATTATTTATCGATTGTGATTGTGTATTTTAAAAAGCTATTCAGACTCCATTTAATGTGATAAGATAACGGGATAAGATCTTCTCTGAAATAAAAAAGGCATTTTTTAATTTATATATAACGATAAGGATGAACGTATAGATAATATTTCTTATATTTCGCATAGTCCGCGTTTACGATGCTCTGCGCAGAAGAAAAATTTTGCTAATATAGCTTATTTTCGTAGCAAATTTTGTTCGTCACTATGGCGGATGGTTTTTTTTATTTTACTAAGAGAACACGAATTTATTGTAATATTGAATAATCAATTATCATTACAAACAATTAATTGGTTATCATATTTTATATGCAACGACAGTTTCGCTGCAACAGCAAAATTCTTTTTTTCGTGCAGAATCATGTAAATTTTGTAGGTTTTGTAGGTTTCTTTTACCGCTTTTGATGAAGTACATTTCACCAAACAAAAAAAAAACAAGTTATACATTTAATCCTTAAAACTATAATTTCAAAAACTTTATTTCTAGAAAAAGTTTAACTTTGGATACAAAATAATCTCACGTAGAAGGATGTATTATTATCTTAGAAAGATATATTGTATATAAAATTTGTATCTATAGGAACTAACTTGCTTTACGTTTTGTGAGATAAAAATTTATTCGGTGACCATATCAATAGGTGTGAATGATCTCACAGTATTTGTCGCACATTCGTTCGATAAATGTGAGATGACGTTCCATCGTTTGGACCAATTTGAGAATTTAACAGATGTATTTTTCGTACATCATGCATGATTATCACTGTCTGGCTTATGACCATTTAAATAATATGATCATAATGAGTTTACGGTACCGATCATTAGTTTTGTTGAGAATTTTTTCTTGTTTGGCAAGCACATTCTTGCTCATTCAATAATACCGTAAGTCCGGTGTAGATTTGTATTCGCGGGGGAAAATATTAAAATCATTTACTATAACGAGAACAGTCAATTAGGTATGCTTGTTTATATGCATGTTCGGATACGATTATTCTTTTGTGTCGACAGAATGAATGGATAGCGTATTACGAATCAGACAAAACCAATGATGACATGATACAATATTGAATGCAATATCGAGAAATGTATTTCGCAGGTATTGATTACAAGCTCACATTTTCCACATCGACTTTATGTATCCAAAGTATACACGCGTGGACTCTAAAGAACTTACTTCCGCACGCTGCAGAATCCCTACACGTAGGTACTTCCACTACTGCGACATTAATAAGAAGAAAAGGTATAATAAAGATTTATGAATTTAGAATAAGAGATAGATTTGGAGATAATTAAATTACAAAAAAAGTATATATAATAATTAAAACTTATATTAAAAAATTATAACAATTAATAAAAATACGATTATATACATTTAATTAAAAAACTAATAGAAGGGTAAAAATTATTAAATAATTTAATTGCTATTCACAAAAATCAGTGTCCAGAGCACTGTTGAAATATATAAGCTTTGCTTTAGTGTATAATGATATCAATATAATGAGGCATTTTTATAAGATTGTAAAGAGATATGCGATATATGTGTCTGATGACGCGGAGGATCACGGACAATTTTTAGTACATATACTTTGCACCTACAATCGGCACACAATTGATATTTGATTACGTATAAACTAATTAATAATTATACGCTTTATGATATGATTATAATTTATGATTTTGAGCGCGGATCAAAATTATACTTGGGAGAGCGTTAAACCTGCGCTTGGCAATTTTAATGCACATGAATTTGGACAACGTGAAAATTAACTAGTGATAATATCTCAACACTATTATATCGACATAATCGAGGAAAAATATCCCACTGGAATTAAAGTAGTCGATACTGACAATATTGACAATAATGTTGCATTCTGCAAGATAGAAAACTTAAGGTTCGGACCCATGATCCAAATTATCGACTTTTACAACAAGATTGCGAGTTGAAATTTGTTTGTGACAATCTCATGACAAATCAGTACTGAATGGAAGCCTAGCTCTTTGCGTAAAAAATAAAATTTCATGTTGATCGCCACCTCATCACCCTTATCGTTAAATATATACATAACTCTAATCGACGATTCGATAGGCACAAGATATACATATGTATATCTTGTGTATGCAAATTAATATTACGAGCCGTGATGACACAAAAATATTCTAGAAATTTAGTCGATTCTTCTGTTGCAAAAGCAGAACATATATCTTGTAGATACTCTTAAGTAATTTTTTTCTATCATTCGATTCAATTGAATCGATAAGAGGAAGGAAAAGTCTCTTTTTTGCTATTTATTAACAATTTAACAATAATTATTAACAATGAAAGCACTTGCTTATTCTGATCGTCTTTTTTACGATATTATAAACGTTATCGATAAAGTGATATTAAATAATATATATTAGTTATAGTAATTTTGATAAAGTCTTTACAAATATGAATATTTTTCTTTTAATTTTATTTCAATATCACACAAGAACTAACTTATTTAAATAATTATTAAAAAAATTTTTTTTTAAATACCCTGAATGTAGGGTATGGAATTCCATACACACGGGATCTTTGGGTATGGAAGCTCCATACCCTCCATAAGGAAGTCTTCCTTCCTATAATATTGTTGTCGCGGTCAAGGTTGTTTCAATTTTTTTCGATGAATCAAAGTGATTTTTTTTTAAATGCCAATATAATGACGTCTTTTCTATCTTCTTTCTTTCTCTTAATTGACATACGTGCAACGATGCAGAAAGATAACTATTTATCTGTAATAAAATAATCAACGTCAAAGGAATGGTATATTAATGTATTATCCCTTCCTCTCCTCAACCATACATTTCTTACGATAATCCACAACATTACATCAGGCTCTTTAGAATTCACTAATATTATTTGATAATGTGTTATAAAAATTACTATTGTAATTAATGAAAAAACAAAGCTTTCGAAAAAAGGTATGGTTAAATGCGACAACTGATTGTGCTCCAGATTAATTCTCTTTACACGATCACGATGTTTCTATTTGCGACTGTATATCTGAATTAAAAAAAAAATACGGTTTCGAGTATTTGTGATAAGTTTTGCTATCATACTATGCTATCTTCCTTTTGCTATCTTACGCTTTCTTATTTGTGGTACATAGAATTAAAACGAGTTACGTCTTGTGCGTAAAGGTCAGTGCTTGGTTTGTTAAAAGCGAGAAAGGATCACTGGCCAGTGTTGTTAAGAGTCGACATTAAAACTTATGAAGATATATTAGAAGGGAAAAGAAACGATAAACAAGCGCGAAGAAAGAAAGAAGGGATCGTGACTTATCGTTGGTCTCCAACTAGCGTTAAAAAGCAGCCTTAGGTTCGTTGCATATACATTTATAACCATTTATAGCATTTTTGATTTGTTGACCCGACTCGACTTCGAATCAATGGTTTATTATTTTTAGCTGCGTTTCTTGCACAATTTAGCTATTCTTTTATATAGCTAAAAAGAACAGACTATCAATTCAGAGTCGGGTCGAGTCAACAAATCGAAAAAACTATTACACTCACGTACTTTTTTTTTTAACCCATTAACGTCCAGGCGGACACATTTTTTGAACAATTTTCAGTGGCTTAATTTTTTATTTTAATGGCCTTGAAAAAATTCTAGCAACA